ACTGTATGTGGGTGAGGCAAGCCTAGCTACAGAATTCGCAGGGCCCTTTTTCAAAATGAAAACGTGGGTCTCTTTTTCAAAAAACAAGAAAAAATACTGTTGAAGATTCTAAAATATAAAACTTGTTCCTGTATTCCATGCTCTCTCTCTCTCTCTCTCTCTCACTGTCATGGTGTTTTTTCTGTGCTCGCTTGGACGTGGGGATACTCCCAGAGTGACACAGTGACCCTGGGCCCTGTCCTGCAGCTTGGAGCATGCCTTCCACCAGCTACTGGGTTTTGCCTGCCTTCAGCCACCAGATTGAAGCCATGTAGAGCCAGGAATCTCTCTTCTCATGGGACTGCCACTCCAACACATAACAGTGCAAACCCTGCACGGGGATGTGTTTAGTATCTGGATTAAGAGTGGGCGAGAGGCACGTTCCTACGGGGTTTTACAATAATGTGCCGTGGCACTGCCAACTTGGGGTGGGAACAGCTGCCACCATGCCCTGCTCTGAAATTGCACAGGTTGCATGCCTGACCCCGACTCTCCCAGAGTGGGAGGACAACAGTGGTCACTGGGTGGGCCAGGGGTGTCCAGTGAGACTGGGGACACTGGAGGGCGAGGAGTAGGAGGCAGGGAATCCTAGGCATGCAGACAGGTAACGGGAGGGGAACCTCACAGTAGCTGAGGTTCTAAGTCCTTTGCGCATGCTCCATTGTCTTACAAGACTTCACTTATAAAGCACACATTCAAAGATAAAATTATTAAAGCATTCAAGGTGGTGACCACAGAGCATTAAACTCAAGTGTGAGTCCTTTCTGAGCAGGGGGACCCTGTGCACATGCACTGGTCACTTGCCCATGAAGCCAGCCATGGGCTGCAAGGAACCAAAGAGCCAGAAGTATAGAGCATTAAACTCAAGTGTGAGTCCTTTCTGAGCAGGGGGACCCTGTGCACCTGCACTGGTCACTTGCCCATGAAGCCAGCCATGGGCTGCAAGGAACCAAAGAGCCAGAAGT